ATCCAATAAAAATCAGATTTGACAGAAGGAAGGTGGAATTGACCTCGTCTACTTACCTCTGGGAATGACACAACACTCGCATTCTGACCACCCTCACTCCAGCCTCCTCCCTGTGAAAATGGTGGGTGCTGAGTTCTGGCCTGGGATTTCCTGATTCAGGTGCCCCTGTGCCATTTTCACTCAGAGAGTTCCTCCACATGTGCAAATATTCAGGCCACAGTGTGCGAGAATAAGCATGAACACAAGGGGATCAGAGCACAGGGTGTGTAAAATAGTGTACTGATGGTGTCCAAGAAGAGGTGCTGTGATGCTCTGTGCTTGCAATTTGCTGGTCAAAAGTAACTTAGTTCCTCTTTGTGTAGCACATAACTCTCACCACTCAACAATGTTTGCAGGTGTCAATTCTGTACTGCTGACCCTTAAATATTTCCCCTTTCTGATAGTCAGAACTCTGTAATGATCGACCAGTTCTGCAAAATCTTGTTGTAGCTGCCTTCAATGTTCTCAGTCTTCTGGTCTTAGGCAGTCTGTTATGATCTATGATTATTTGCTTCAATCCCAGTGTGATGGGTTCTGAAATGGCTGGTGCATGATCTGTAGACTCTCTCATATGCAAAGGACTAGCTTGGTGGAGATTTATGCACACTGCCTGTTGCATTGATTCAACCATTGAATGAGCAATCCCAGACGGTGTCAGTCTCTTCCTGCTCCCCCACTTCCCTTGTAGATACAACCTCACCCACTGGAGAATCCCTGCTTTCCCTGAATATACAGCCTCTCACCAGTGTCAACGTCTTCCCTGCTTCCCCTGCAGATCCAGCCCCCTCAGTAGGTGTCACACTCTCTCCATTTACCCTTACAGTTGACAAACTAAGGAGACTTAAGGCAGCTGGGACACTGGAAGTGGTTGCAGAGAGTGTGGAGACGTTAGTGAAGATATTGCAAAATTCACCCGATTAGAAACTGAACTGTTCTGAGGAAGGGTCAGCGGACACGAAATGTGATTTTTTTACTTCACAGATGCTGCCAGACCTGCCGAGCTTTTCCAGCAACTTCTGTTTGTGTTCCTTACCTGATTAAAGTCAGTCCAGAGAAGTTTCACTGATTGATCCTGGGGATGAAGGGACAGTCCAATGAAGAGAGGTTGAGTAGGTTGGGCCTGTATTCGTTGGAGTTGAGAAGCCAGAAAGACTATCCTATTGAAACACAAAAGATTCTTAATGGACTTGATGTGTAGATGTGGAAAGATTGTTGCCCCTTGTGGAGAGCCTAGGTTCAGAGGACATAGTCTCAGAATAAGGGCTTGCACAACTGAGACAAGGCTGAAGAGCATTTTTTTCTCTCAGAGGGTGTGGAATTCTCTACCGCAGAGGACTATAGAGCTGGGTCGTTAAGTGTATTCAAGGCTGAATTAGACAAATTTTTAATCAGCAAGGGAATTGAGGGTTATGGGGAAAAGGCAGGAAAGTGGAGTTGAGGATTATCAGATCAGCCATGATCTCATTCTTGAAATATGTAAAGGAGAGCTTTTCACATCAGCATGTAGATGGTCCCACAAGGGACATTGCAGCACTGGACCTAATTCTAGGGAATGAAGCTGGACAGGTGTTTGAGGTCATGATGGGGGGAGCATTTTAGTGGTAGTGACCACAACACCATACGTTTGAAGTTCGTTGTGAAAAAGGAGAAACATGTTCTGCAGAAAAGAATTTTGTATTGGGGTAAGGCAGATTTTATTAAAATCTAGCCAGAATAGACAGAGTAGGTAAATCTAGAGAACAGTGGGAGGGTTTCAGAAAGGTACGGGGGAAGAATACAGGCCCAACATATTCCCTTTAGAGTGAAGTGTAGGAGCAACAAGCCCAGAGAACAGTCTGTTTAGGAACATTCAGTACTGAAAAAGAGACAAATATAACAACAGATACTAAAGGGGTAAAACAACGCAGGACCTAGGGGAATGTACAAAGTTCAGGTGGCAAATCATCTGAAAGTATTTGGGAGAACAAAGTTGGTGGGGGTTGGGGGGGTGGTGGTATGGAAAAAAATCTGTCAAGCAAGATTAGGAAGAATCCCAAGATATTTGTAGGATATATCAGGGGAAGACCAGGGGTAACCAGGGAAAGAGTGGGGCTCAATAAGGACCAAAGAGGAAATCTGTGCATGAAACCAAAGGACATTGGTAGGGTAATAAATGAGTGCTTTGCATCTATCTTTACTTGGAAGGTGAAGGATCTAAGTACAGATTTGGAAAGGTGGACTGTGTCCTTGAACAGGTTGATATAAGAAGCCAGGACGTTGGAAGTTTTGGTGGGTTTCAAAGTAGATAGAATCCCCTGATCTTGATGAGTTACATCCCATGGGAGATGAGGGAGGAAATAACAGGGGGCCTTGTTCCAAAGTTTTAGAACATCTTTGGCCAAAGAAGAGGTGCTAGAGGACTGGAGGACAGCTAATATGGTTCCCCTTTACAAGAAGGGTGATGGACCATTGTGTCCCACATCAGTGGTAGGGAAACTATTGGAAAATATTCTGAATCTCCATTTAGTGAGGCATGAGTTGACCAGGGTAGTCAGCATGGCTTTGACAAGGGAGGTCATGTCTAACAAATTTGATGGAATTTCTCGAGAAGTGACCAAGTGTTTGGATGAGGGTAAGGCAGTGGATGTAGATTATATGGATTTCAGTAAGGCTTTTGACAAGGTCCCACATGGATAACTGATAAAGAAAGTAAAACTCATGGGATCCAGGGTAATTTTGCAAGATGGGTCCAAACCCTGGCTTAGTGTTGGGAGACAGAGGGTGGTGTTAGAAGGCTGTTTGTGTGACTGGAGCCCAATGCACAGTGGTGTGCTACAGGAATCAGTGCTGGGTCCCTTATTGTTTGTAATATTCATAAACGTGGAGAGACGTAAGTAGGTTTCCAGATGAGATGACATGAAGATTGGCCGGGCGGTTGACAGTGAGGAGGAAAGTGTTAGGCGTTAGGAAGTATAAATGGATTGGTCAGATGGCAGGTCAGTAGCAGGTGGAATTTTAACCCTGATAAATGTGAGGTGGTGCACCTTGGAAGTAACAACAAGACGAGGAAGTGCTCAATGAATGGGAAGAAACTTAGGAAGCTTAGAGGGATCTTGGGGAGTTTGTCCATAGATCCTTAAAGGTGCAGGACAGGTTAATAGGGTAATTCAGAAGGCATATGGGATGCTTGCCTTTGTCAGTTGTGGCATAGGTTATTAGAGCAAAGAGGTCATGTTGGAGCTGTATAGAACTTTGGTTAGACCACAGCTGAAGTACGTGTACAGTTCTGGTCACTGCACTGTAGGAGGAACTTGATTGCACTGAAGGGAATGCAGAGGAGATTGACCAGGATGCTGCCTGCAATGAAGCATTTCAGAGATGAAGAGAGGCTAGATAAGCTTAGGGTGTTTCTTTGAGCTGGGAAGGCTGAGAGGGAACTTAATTGCGGTGTATAAGATTATGAGGGGCATGCACAGAGTGAATAGAAAGCTGCTGTTCTCCTTAGTAGAAGGGTCAACAACAATATGTGGGGGGATAATTTTAAGGTGAAAGGCATTAGAGGGAATTCAAGGAAATTATTTTTCACCCAGCGGATGGGGGGAATCCGGAATGCACTATCTGGGCGATTGGTAGAGGCAGAATTTCTGAAGAAGGGTCTAGGCCCGAAACGTCAGCTTTCCTGTTCCTCTGATGCTGCTTGGCCTGCTGTGTTCATCCAGCTCTACACCTTGTTATCACAAGCTTTTGGAGTCTCGCTCCTTCAGGTGTCAGTGAGAGAGGTGGCATCAGACACAGAATTTATAAGCAAAAGATCAAAGGGTCATAGAATTGATGCAAATGTGTTGAACAAACCCATGATGGCTGTTAAATCTTTAATCAGGAAGAAAGGATTAATCTGCAAAATGAAGAATTTCTTTCAAGTCACTGCCCGGAGATAACTGAAAGTTCTATCAGTTCCTTCAGTATATCAGAGGTGACATCCCAGGACAGACATTGCATTTTAGGTGTGAGGTCTTGTTTAGAATCTGACTGTGTATCAACTTGGAGTCACAGTGGTTTTATTTCCAAAGTAGGAATTTATAAAATGCCACATTGACTGTCTGCAAATTGTGTGCTTTTGGACCAAAATAGAATGTATCTGCAATTACAAATCTGCAAATGCAAGTTCGCCGACAAATTTATTTATGTGTGTGCGCATGCACGTGTGTGTGAGAGAGAGAGAGGGAGTGAGAGTGTCTGTGTGCGTGTGTTTGAGAGAGCGGGGGGGAGAGAGAGAGTGACTCCAAGCTGATGCCACCTTTCTCACTGACACCTGAAGAAGGAACGAGACTCTGAAAACTTGTGTTTTCAAATAAACCTGTTGGACTATAACCTGCTGTTGTGTAATTTTTGACCTTGTCCACCCCAGTCCAGCTCTGGCACCTCCACATCACAGTTGGTGTCAATCTCCCCTGCAGTACCTCCGTCCCCCAGGGGGTGTCAGTCTCTCCCCACTCTGCCTGCAGTGCCCCCTCCCCCCAGGGGATGTCAGTCTCTCCACTGCTCTGCCTGCAGTACCCCCTCCCCCCAGGGGGTGTCAGTCTCTCCCCGCTCTGCCTGC